ACCGAGCACACGCCCAAGACTTCTGCCCAGTGGGCAGATAGTCATACATGTGACACTCCGTGCAAAACACTGGATAGCCCCCAACTCCCTGCTGGCATTCTGGCTTCATAATTCTTTTAAAATAAGTAAATGTAAGCCCCCTTTTAAATCCCTTTGTATTTATGTGTTTTTTCTTGTCAAAGTCAAATTACTTTATGGGGAAAACAAAGAGCCTAGGGTTTTCACTTTCTGCCTCTTCTTGAGGCTCGTGCCTCTGTCAAGGAGCTTTCTTAAATACTCACCCTTCTGTCTCCTGCTCCTGTTCCTGCTCAGAGCTCAGCTGGGTCTCCTCTGCCTCTGGCCAGGTGTTTCCTTAAATAGAGGCCTCCCCCAGCAGAGGGCTGGCAGCAGCTATTCAAATGCACCCAGGCACTCAATCACATGCAAAACAATGCCCCTTCCTTTTCCTCTCAATTGCAGTCAATCACAGTCAAACAATGCCCTTTCCTCTCCCTCTCTCAATCAGCCAGGAATCTGCAACAACTCCAAGCGCTTCCCCACACTCCCAGACCAGTTCTCCCACCAATATCCTCAGCTGAATCCTCCCAGCTGAAAGCAAGTAAAAAACCACTCACCCCTCTGTTTCCTGCTCCTGCTCAGAGCTTTTGATTCTCAAAAGCTTATACCTGGAAATGTTGTTGGTCTTTAAGGTGCTACTGGACTGGAATCTTGAGGTGTACTTGTCTGTTTTCTCTCCTGTACAAATACTGAAGGTAGAAAACAGTTGGCTGCTGTTCTTATCTTCCTGCTCCTGCTCAGAGCTTTTGATTCTCAAAAGCTTATACCTGGAAATGTTGTTGGTCTTTAAGGTGCTACTGGACTGGAATCTTGAGGTGTACTTGTCTGTTTTCTCTCCTGTACAAATACTGAAGGTAGAAAACAGTTGGCTGCTGTTCTTATCTGGTTACTGTAGTGAGCAGAAAGAGATTTCCAGCAGGAGGGAGTATGCAGTGGATTCCATTAGCACGTAACTTTGTTAGTTATGGAAAGATAACATTACCTTCAGTTGTGTCCACTTACAACTGCTTAAATTTTCCTGCAGTTTGTAGTAAACCTTTTTCTTTAAAAAAAAATGTTCAAAACCGGAAGGTGTATTTAGGAAGAAATCTCTCTTGCAATCACACTGCCAGGAGCAGGTATGGAAAGAGCAAGTTGTGAAGAGGGCATTGCTTAAATTCCTGGTGAGGTTACTTTTCTGTGTATGTGTTTAAGACAGGGGAATGTTTTCTGTTTTTGAGACAACAGGTTAGTGTTGTGCCTCTGAGCCCTGTGATCTTTGGGCTTGTTTATAATTAGAATTATTATGGCATGGGTGAATTATTATGGCACAGGTAAATGAGCACTGCTTTGCCCTCAGTAGTAAAACACTCAAAAAGCTGCAAGTGGTTTCTTATTGGAATGTTGGAATGATCCATGCGACGGTCACCTCGAGGCTGGACTACTGTAACGCTCTCTACTTGGGGCTGCCTTTTTCGCAAATCCGGAAGCTGCAGCTAGTGCAGAATGCTGCAGCTAGGCTGTTGATGGGCCTCTCCAGGCGAGACCACATCCGGCCGGTGCTGCAAGCACTGCACTGGCTGCCAATAGCATACCAGATTCGCTTCAAAGTGCTGGTGCTCACCTTTAAAGCCCTGAATGGCCAGGGTCCGGCTTACCTAAGGGACCGCCTCTTCCTGTATGTTCCCTCAAGAGCACTGCGATCAGGGAATCTCCACCTCCTGGAAGTTCCAGGCCCCTGAGGTGTGAAGCTTGCCCAAACTAAGGCTAGGGCGTTTTCGGTGGCGGCTCCTACCTGGTGGAACGAGCTCCCGGAGGAGATCCGGGCCCTGCGGGACCTCGTACAGTTCCACAGGGCCTGTAAGACAGAGCTCTTCCGCCAGGCCTTTGAGTAGGAGCCGCCGCCACCACTATTCCACCACTGAGACTCCATCATCCATCTACCCCATTATTGGTGGGGGGTAGATGTCGCCCGGCTGAGATTAGGAAAATATCATTCCTGGCGCTCATGCTATCAAGAAAACTGACCGCCAATGTGGGTTGTTGCGCATCTTGGTGATTTTATGTAGATTGTTAGAGCACCGAATTTTACTATGTATGTAACACTGTTTTACTGTTTTAAATTTTTGAGCTCGGCATTGCCGCTTGTTAGCCGCCCTGAGCCGCTGGGTAGGGTGGGATATAAATCCCAAAATAAATTAAAAATAAATAAATAAATAAAAATGTTTGTAGACTGAGTTGCTTATCTAGGAGATTTATTCTGTTCAGAATCGGCTCAAGGTTGTTCACAATTATTAAATATGTGTTCTTATCTTTTAGAAAAATTCATACCGTTATGCAGCATGTAATGGCTCCTTAACATGTGGAAGACAAAACAAGAGCATTTATGTAAAGTCTTTGAGAATTGAATCCTGTAACTTAATTTTAAAAATTTTGTTATTATCATTTTGTAATTGTTCTTGAAAGTATTCACTGGCAAAAATTTGAGTTTTTCAAAACTTGGTATTTGTTGCAGATTCAAACAAGCAGTCTCCTGATGAAGGATTAATTGAAGACTTTGCAATTGTAGACAAAAAAGCTGTGGAACAACTAGCTGAAGGGCTGATTTCTCACTACCTACCTGATCTACAGCGATCAAAGTTAGCTTTAAAGGAGCTTACGTACGTAAATGAAAGAAAATGTACATGTATTTATTGTACATGTATTTATCTTCATGTATTTATCGTCATGTATTTATTGAGACTGATGGTGAATGTATCAAGTCAGACTTCTCTGTTTAAAGGTCACCAGAACAGTTATTAATTGATGTGCATTTGGAATTGCAATTCATGGTTATCTTCTTTCTCTTTTCCAGCATAGCTATTTTCTTAGAATATTTTATTGCCTTCCCCCTCCCCCACTCAGAGCCGCATACAAATTGAGATAAGCACAAAAAACCGTTTGCACAATTTATGGAAGCTAATAGAGAGCAAGAGAAGAAGCTGCTGTGTCTTCATTGGCAGACAGCGTTAAGTTGTCCTTCCTAATGTCTCTATAATTTGACTTTCAATTCCATCTATTCTAAACAATTGCCTTGACTTCTAGACAGAACCAAGAAGTACTACTAGAAACTCTACAACAAGAAATCTCAAAGTTTAAAGAATGTAATTCTGTCCTTGACATCAACATGTTGGTAAGTTGTGTTATCAGATTTTTTTTTGGGGGGGGAGGGTTAATCCCACCATTTTTTCTGCCTGCACAAGAAGGAAGAGACGTCATCTCACTTTATCTCACTCGATTTCCCTATCTTGCCGCAGCCCCGTACCACATGGCTGCTTGTCTGTGTGGGTCCCCATCATAGCCTGGGGGGGGGGGTCAAAAGGAAAATTCTACAAACACCATCTTGTCTTTGGAAAATATCTGCACTAAGTGAAAAGGCATAAGCACAGCAATGGGATTCCGTAGCAGAGGAAACTGATTTCTGCTCCTCCTATTTCCTGTTTCCTATTTCGAGTTGTAACTCATGCCTGCCTGATTTAACAGTAAGCCCCTTTAACCACTCTGCTATTCACTTGGAAGTAACTTTGCAGAAGTGGTACTGCAAGTGAGATTTGATTTAGGAATAAAGTGAGTTTCCAGATTAAAATAGGTAATAGGTAATATAGGATTTCTGGTATTATAACAATAACAGTTCTGATATTTATGCAGTTGCTTACATTCTGATTGCATACATAGATCCTTGGCAGTTGCAATGAGTTTGCTTCTTTAAAAAGTGTATATGGGGAGAGGGAATCACTGCCTTGCGCTCATTCCAGTACCTTAATACAGCCTTTTGTTCTGTGATTTGTATTTTTTATGGATGGTGTAGTACATGGAAGTCAGTTTTATTGAGTTCTAAAATCTATTCTTTTTTAAAAAGTTTTCAGAAGCAAAGTACTATCACAACAAGTTGGTGAATGTTAGGAAAGAGATGATGATGCTCCATGACAAAACATCAAAGTTGAAAGTGAGTCCATTTGCTTTGGGATATCAAGAAAGGTGGGAAAGCCTGTGTTGCCTGTTCTGTGTTTTTTTAAATCTTGCAGACTTGGGCTTACTTCTGAATAAATATGCATAGGATCAGGCTGCATACCTTATGGAGACAGTCTTTGGGCACTGTCACACTGCTACCTTACCCCCATTCTTCTCTATTGCTGCCTTGTTTTCTCTGAGGAGGCAGGAAGAGTCAGCCCTTAAAAGGAATGCACTGCAAAAGTCCCCATGTTTTGCTAGATGAGGTCTGCAAAGAAAGTTCAGGTTTGCAGAGGCAACACCTTATAAAGGGGGAGGCAACTGTAAATGTGCAGCTGACAGCAGCTTTGCATTGAATCAAGAGAAAACTTGGGAACAAAAGAAATTTTAAAGGATGTACATAAAGCCCTCTTAAACACAGTAGGAAACCAGTTCAAAATGAAATGTATATGAAATGCAACTGTGAATAGGCCATAATGTTTCAAAAAGAGCATCTGAACCTAGCCTTTGCCTCTAACAAATTTGAGTTATCTGTGGTGACACCTAAGAATAACATTTCTCTTTTCTCACACAAACTTTTAAGATATGTGCGAAATCAGCAAGTTTTCAAATGACTTGACAGGGCAAACAAGAAATATGGGGTTTAAATGGCTTAACATAGAGCTGGAAGGAACCCCAAGGGTCATCTAGTCCATCTAGGACATTCACAGCTACCCTCCAACTCCCCCAGTGATACTCTGTGCCCAGAGGAAGGCAAAAACCCTCCAGGGTCCCTGGAGGGAAATTGCTTCCTGACCCCAAAGTGGCAACGGGCATTACCCTGGGCACAATAAGAAAGGGCCATGAGAGCCGAGCACCGGCTCATCCCTTCCCTGCCCTCCCTCTCACCATCTGCCTAAATTCACAGTGAGTCATGGATTTAGCATTGCTGTCCGATGGCCATCTAGCCTCTCTTAAAACCTCCAAAGAAGGAGAGCCCACCACCTCCCGAGGAAGCCTCTTCCACTGAGGAGCTGCTCTGTCAGGAAGTTCTTCCTAATCATAGAATCACAGAGTTGGAAGGGACCTCGAGGGTCATCTAGTTCAAGTTCCTGCTATGCCCAGAACTGAACACAATACTCCAAGTGAGGTCTAACCAGAGCAGAGTAGTGATATTATCACTTCGCATGATTTGGACCACTATACTTCTATTGGTGCAGCCCAAAATCGCACTTGCCTCTTTAGCTACTGCATCACACTGCTGATTCATGTTTAGTGTATGATTTACCAAGAAATTACCAAGAAATAGAGCGAGTGTTCTTTCATTTTTGTCAGCAGAATGAAAATTCTAAATTGAGTCATTGCATAGAATTTCCCCTTGGTTATATCAACATTGCTTCAATTTAACCATTTATATGCTGTCTTCCCTGCATTCAACACAGGCTTACAGTACAACTCATCAATACAGTCTGCACAATAGAAACCATATCAATCACATAACAAACTACACCTAACCCTCTGTAAACCATCATGGTACAGAGTGGCCACCCTATTCATCAAGTGCCAGATGAAATGGGAACTTCTTACAGCCCTTAAGCAATGGCAGAGAGTGCATCCCTCCACACGTCTTCAGGGAGTTGGTTCCCAAAAGAGGGGGCTGCCACTGAGCAGTCCCTGTTTTTATGACCACTGTTTGAAGCTAGCAGATCTATGAATGCCATATTGGGAGGGAAGTAGGAGTTCTGATAATAACTGAAAAGCATCATGGCTTCTGTGCTGTCAAATAGAATTCTGCAAGTTCTGGAAAGTAAAATGCTCTTGTGGCTTTTCTCTCTCTCTTTCAGAAAAGAGCTCTCAGACTCCAGCAGAAGAGGCAGAAGGAAGAGCTAGAACGAGAGCAGCAACGGGAGAAAGAGCTTGAGCGAGAGAAACAGTTAACAGCCAAGCCAGCTAAAAGAACCTGAAAGCCGAACGTGCATCAACTTGTCAAACTAATTAGAACATTCTCTGGACTCACTGGGGAGCCCTCCGTGTTGCCCCTCATGACCCGAAGTTCGAACTTGCCAAGAAGCCTATTTGTATGTCACTAATATTTCCTGGTTGCTATTTCTAAGAAGCAAGCTGGGAGCAGTGAAGCATCAGCGGTTCAAGATGCCTTCTTTGCAAATCCTGTGCAGCTATGTCAGGCGTGTTCTTTTTATCTTGTCTGCTAATTTTTCCAAAAGAGGGGTGGACAGAAACAAAATACAAGACCTTGTGTGGTATAGAATGGTTTGGAGTCCAGAATGAATGGGTGTGTGTGTGTATTTTCTTGAAAGTTGAGCTCTACCTCATTATCCTGCTGTTTTCTAGGGTAGTTCATTTAATCCAGATGCAGCTTCTTTGGTTGTTCCATCATTGATCCTGCCATGCCCCATTACCAGTAGAACAGCGACTGACTAGGTGTGAAGTCTTCACATCAACTCTGTGTTCTTCTCTTATAGAAATCGGTTCCAGACTGGAAGAAGTGTTGAGGTCTGTCTGCCAGTTTTTCCATGTATAGATTTTGAAGTTTACCAGAACCAAAGTATTGTCACAGCAGGTGGATGACTCTGTAACTGTGAAGGCCTTGCTGTGTCACTTAAGATGTGGTTGCCTGGGATGTCTGTTGCAGACACCACTGAAATGGAAAAGAACACCACACTGCGCTGAGTGGGGGTAGCAGTGCAGTTCACCTACTAGACCAAGCGTTTCCTGTAGCAAACACCTGAACTGTGGATATCTGTCTAGAAGCTCTTGAGTTCATGCATGTAAGGCTCCCAGATGCGAGCACCCAAGGTGTGCTTAAAGGTGTGCCTATATCCTTGCTTTGTGGATTTGCCATGGGAAACAATGGTGTACATACAACAGCTGAGTTTACCACAAAGCCTGAAGGTTGCTTACAGATTGTGCCCATCAGATATTTCTAGCCATCATGGAACTAATTCCTGACCCAAGTGATATTAGAACTGGGGATTAATGGTCCGTGTATGCCGCCAGGACACTTTGTATACATGTCCAGAAATGTAACAGGAGATGGTTCAGAATTTCAGATGGAACTGATCTGTCTGAGAACTTGGGGGTATCTGTTGGCTCCATGTTCTGTCTTCGTTGTTTTGCTGTAATTAAAATGCTTTTCTGTTCCACATAGCTATCTGCTCGTCCGCTCAGATTTGGAGAGCATTCAAGTGACGTTTAAAGTCTAATCCATTTTAATTGCTATGATGGGGGGGCAGAGATTTTCAGTAACTGAAAAAGGTGATAGGTATGCTTTGAAGAGTTATGTTTCCTTTCTACAAGGAAAAAAACAATGGGATCAGGTACATTTAAACAAACAAAAATAAGATGGGGTTCTTATGGGAGAGTAAGATGGGTACGTCTCTCCCCCCATTGCACTCTAATTGGCTGATTTTTTAAAAATTGGGGAGCAGTAGTGTCCCCCCCTCCCCCAATTAGCAGGAGGCTGAGAGAGATTTCTGGGACTGTTCCTATTGAGACTCTGTGCTGTTGTGCAGGAGGGATTAGGCCACAAACTCACTGTTCAGATGAATGTTGCTTGTTCTGCTAATGATGCTTAGTGTTGGACAGCCACCCACTAAAATAAAGATGATAAACATAAGGTTGTGTAAGCATTCTTACATTATCTACTTTAGGTTCTGTGCAACTGTGAGCGAGCCCCGGCTTGCCTTATTCTTGGGCAGATGTCTCCATTTTTCCTCTTCCTGGTTTAGACACCACCAGCATCCCTCCAAAGTTAGGCTTCCCTCCTTTCCCTCCCAGCAGAGACAACACTGCAGCCGGCCGGCTGCTTTGTTTCTGCTTCAGCAAGCCAGGCCAGGCATCAGGTAGCTGCTGCAACTGGGAGAGGGTGGCGGTTACTGTGGCCATGCCAGGCCACTATTGGCTAGCCACGGGCTTTGGCCCCGAAGAGCACCTGTGCCTGTAAGAACAGGGGGAAAGCCCTCTTGGTTTGAGTGTAGGAGGAACTTGACTGAAGTCCTGAAAGACAAGCAGACTAAGCCTGGTTAAGGAGGGAACTGACAGCTTGCAAGCCCTGGACTGCAAGTTTTGGTAAGGCTTTAATTTTACTAGTTGCTGTAGATTTTCCGGGTTGTGTGGCCGTGGTCTTGGCATTGTAGAACCTGACATTTCAAAAATAAATCCACAAGAATTGTGTACAGTGCGCTCAATATTTCTTTAACAAAAATCGTGAAGTTATGAATATGAAAATACAAAAGTAGTAATAATACATTCAAATTATAGATTCAGGTACATAAAGATAGAAGGTGACAACAACGGCAACGGGACGGTAGTCTCCAGAATGCAGTGCCGTTTCGACAGACGTCTTCTTCTAACCAATAGTTTGATAATGTATGAAAAATTGCACTTCAAATGGAAAAGCTGCCCAATTCACATGGAGTTTGATAACAGTTTCACCTATTACATCGCACAAATAATGGAGGAGAACACCTCTCAGACAGATTAAAGCTTATGTGGGCAGAGGTATAACAAGAGGAGGCTTGATTGCCTGCCTCCGCATCCCGAGCCCTGATATTCTTTGGAGGCCTTTAGTTTTACTTTAGTGTTGCTGTAAAGGAGGCAAGGAGCTTGGTGGGGCTGGGTCCCCTTTGCCCTAAAAGACAGCTGTCTCTGCTTGGTCCAATTTGAAATTATAGAAATTTACTGTGTTTAGACCCCAGTGCAGCCTGACGGAGTGAGCTCCCATCTCTGGCCCCAGCTCCTGCCAGCCTAGGAGTTCAAAAGCAAGAAATTGCAAGTAGATAAATAGGTACCACTTTGGTGGGAAGGTAACAGCGTTCCGTGTGCCTCGGCGTTTAGTCATGCCGGCCACATGACCACGGAAATGTCTGCAGACAGTGCTGGCTCTTCGGCTTGGAAACAGAGATGAGCACTGCCCCCTAGAGTCGGATTCGACTAGCTTTCGAGCAACTTTACCATATTTACTAGATGCATTTTTTCCCTGCACCCCTTAGCTTTGGTCACCCTGGGTGAGTTCCTCATTTGCTTTGCCCTTGTTACAGCTCTGTGGGGGAGATCACTATACGTATGGATGAAAACTACTCTGTACCTACCAAACATGCATCTGGCCATTGCTTCTCACAAAAATATTTTGCGTTGGTGCCCAGTAACTACTAGCTCTTTCTTCTGGACAGCTCTTTATTTTTTTTGTGTGTGGGTATTTTGTGTATGTGTGTGGACTTGCATGACTGGAAGGCAACCCCTAGTGGGGTTTGGACGTTTTCAGAGAGGAGACTTGATTGTCTGCCTCTGTGTCCAGCCCTGATATTCTTTGGAGGTCTCCCTTCCAACTACTTGCCAGGGCTGGCCTTGCTTAGCTTCTGAGATCTGAAGACACTGGGCTTGCTTGGGCTCTCCAGGTCAGGGCCTTCTGGTCAATTCTGGGCCTTTACTGTCCTGCAAAAAGCCTATCTAACTGACATCTTAAATATGTATACTGTGGAAGGGGGTTCTGACTAATGTTCCTATGGACAAGTTGAAAGCAACATTATCCACCAAACACTGTTTACCGAATCTAAGATGGGTCTTGTTTAGGAATGATCAGTTAAGGACTAGATATTAAAGGTAAAGGTTCCCTTGCTCGAAAGCCAGTCAAATCCAGTTGCGGTGTTCATCTCCGTTTCAAAGCCAGCGCTGTCCGAAGATGTTTCCGTGGTCATGTGGCCGGCATGACTAAACACCAAGGCGCACGGAACGTTGTTATCTTCCCACCAAAGTGGTACCTATTTATCTACTTGCAATTTCTTGCTTTCGAACTGCTAGGTTGGCAGGAGCTGGAACTAGAGACAGGAGCTCACTCCATCATGTGGCACCCAGGTCTCGAACTGCTGAACTACTGACCTTCTACAGCCTGCAGTTCAGCGCCACCGCAGCTCCAAGGACTAGATATTACTAATACAATATATAGACAGCTGTGTTCTTCCATTGTGTTATAGATAACTAATTGTTATCAAAGTAGGATGGCTTTGTTTCTCCGTTGCAGAATAGCATAAATTTTCACTTCCGACTCTTTCTTTAATTCAGTGTGCAGGGTTTCTAGAAACAGGTTTCAGTGGTCTGTAATGAGCAACTTATTCCTATTGCACCCTTCCAAGTGTTTGCTGACATCACCATGACCGATGGTAGTTCTGGTTGGTTTTAATCTGACCATATGCATTCATTGTGCAAAACTGGAAAAGACCTTTCGTATTCTACTCCATAAATTTGCTTCCCCCAATCAGCCCAGCTTTGAATCACCGCACAGTTGCTCTACCCGCGCATGCATGCAAAGGGGCGTGCGTCTACAGGGGAGGGGTACCACCAGGCAGTTCCATTTACATCCTGGTGAAGGTTTTCTACTGCGGAGGCTGAGCTTTATTTCGGAAGCGCGCCGCCTGCCTCGGTGGGAGTGCTGCTGCCGTCCGTTATCAGGCCGTGCCACACGACTCCTGCTGCCTTTCGTTAAGGCAAACATGGACCGCTGAGCTGGGCCGGTGAAAAGTTCACCGCGCTAAGGATACACAACCAGCCCAGCCGGAGAGCGCAGCTGCCTGAGCGCCTCCGCGCCAAGCCTCTGGGGCCACCTGCTGGCTGCCGGGAGCCTTGCGGCACATGGCGCATCTCTCCCCTCGGCTCCGGCTGGGTCGGGCCCCCCCCCGCCGCTCTTTGCCGTGGGAGCCCCGCCTCCCAGTCCAGACGGATTGGCACTTTCTGCGATGTCTGAGAGGCGAGGGAATCGCCCTCTGCACGTGCTCAGAGGGAGCCGCGTTTACTGTCTTTCGCCCCGCCGTTCCCTGCCCTTGCAAAAGGATTAGGCGGAGCCTCAGCCCGTTTGCGAAAAGTCATGGGGCGCTGCTGCTGCGTTTGCTTGCGTCCGCGCTCCGGCCCCTCCCGGCTCTTCCCTCTGATAGGCGACGGAGCTCCCGTTGCGCAACAGGCGGGCGGGGAGGGGAGAGACGCCCCGCGCGGCGATTCGGGCCGTCGGAGCCGTGGCGCGGGGCGAGACGGGCTCTTCCTTCCTCTCCTTGGTCGGTGAGTAGCCTTCCGTTGCCACCTTGTCCCTTGGCAGGGCTCCTGCGCTCTAAATCAGCTGCGCCAGGCGGAAATTCGGCAGGTGAAGCTTTTGCCCATGCAGTCCTGTTGGAGCTCCCGCACAAGGCTCAGGGTTCAGGAGGGCTGGTGGGGGGCGTGGTAGTCTATAGGACATGTTGGGAAGGGTTTTAATATGAGCCACAGTTTAGTCCGAGAACTTGTGTTCAGTGCCAAGGCTGTTTCCTGGCACCGAATAAAAAACGGAGTGCCTCTGAGCAAGTGCAATTAGTAACCATTAATTGTCTTACTTTTTAATGTTTTTTAAATTATTGTATAATAATTGCTGTACTGCACCCTGAGTGCTGCTGTAAAGGGGAGGGCAGACTAGGAATATAAATAAATAAAACCACAGACTGCTGACATGCAAGGGCTGTTTCCTGGGCAAAGGCCTCTTTGTGGACTTTAATTAATGGGTAACAAAACCTATAGTTTTGAAGGGGAGAAAAATACTTTTTTTGTTTTTAGATTATGTGTTTTAGAAGAGGCAGGTGGGGGGATGCCTTTTTAAAATGGCATCTGCCCAGCTTTTGGGAGTATTTTCTATTTAAAAAAAAAAGTTAAAGAGTTTAATCTGGGACACTCTTTTTATACAATCAAAAGACTAAATATGACCAAGGAGATCTTTGCTGGCTTAGAGGTAGGTTCATCTGGTCTGATGATCTCTTTCCCAAAGTGGTCAGAAGGATACCTCCGCACCAGCCCTCAGCAAGAGGTATTCAGAGGTATACTGCCTCTGAACCTGGAAGTTCTACTTAGATCTGGTAATGGTAGTTAATCATAGTAGCTGTCTTTTGTGCATTGGGAACTAGTGTGGAGGGGCTTCAGGCAAAGGCCCTCTTCCTAACAGAACGGCTATGCAGGATTCTATGTGGGTGCCCCCCCCCCTTTTGTGGGAGCCACATTCTCCGAGAACTAGAAGCCTGCCTGCCTGCCTGCAGGGAAGGTGGCTCTTCCTACTCAGGCAGTAGGAGAGAGCATCTAAAAGCCATTGAAAATTGCCCTTGTTTTTCTGACAGCCACTGTGCCTTCAGCAATTGTGTGGCGGGCAATAATTCAACAGGTGTAGAGCTTTGCCAGTGAACTGCTGCTGTCATGTACGTGTTAATGGCACCGTGCCTCTTGAACAAATGGCCTTAGTGGTCAGATGCACAACGCTGGAAACGGCTGGAAACGGTTCTTCCCATGAGCACCCCCATCTTTTGGATGCTGGTGTGGAAGAAAAACTGACAGATTTCAGCAGAACGTACTTCCAAATTAAGGGAGCCTCGTAGTGACTTGGGAGCCAGGGCATGGTAAGGACGCAAAAACCCCCCCCATGAAATGATGATACATGGCAGAGCTAACCCTGATCTCAGCTCTTGTGAAAGAGTGGCAGAGTTTTGGAGGGAGGCTTCGGTCCCAAGCACTTGTGCTTAAAATAATGAAGTCGTGAATTGGCTTCAAATGAGCCTTTCAACAGCACGTCCAACTTTCTCTTTTCCCGATTGTTGATAATGATTAATTGTGCATTTTAAAAATATATATAATCTTACATGTCGAATAAGGAAAGGTCATAGGAAGAGGGGGGAAATACCCAGGGAAGAACAGAACTTTAGAGGAAGGAACTGAAAAGTGGATGACAACCAAAGGAGTGGCTGAACAGAGAAGAAGGGTGTGACCAGGAAATGAAGAGAGAGGGAGAGAGAGAGAGAGAGAGGGAGAGAGAGAGAGAGAGAGAGAGGAGGCTTAAGTTCATGTTTGATTAAACCTGCGGGGGGGGGGGGTCTGACGGGAGATAGCAAACGCCTCCTTGAGAGAGAGCGGGGTAGCCCCTGGCTTGAAATGGGCAATGGAGCCTCCCTTCCTAAAGAAACCTACTCTGGCCCCTGGAGGGTTGAATAACTACTGCACAGTCTCAAATGTACCATTCTTGTATGTACCTGATCCCCAGGGAGATTTGACTCTTTTGTTCTGTTTGAGATTCTTGTCACTAATTCTTTATTAGCCCTCCTTCCTGTTAGTGAGTTTATATGTGTTTACTTGTTTAATTGT